CTCTCTTAGAGCACTGCTGTCATTAGTCTTCTGTCACATTGTCAGGATTTGATGACTCAGGCATCAAAAAAAAAACCAACCCACCCCTCCTTCTGATCTAAAATAGCCTAAGAGCAAATTTTTTAAAGCAAATTTTAATGCAGTTAGTTAGGTCATATTTTCTTTCTGGGACTCACTGTTTTGCTGCTTGAACTGAAGCTATTTGAATGTTTACTATTTTTTAAACAAAATTCAATACCATTGGAGTCCACTTGAGATCTTTGACAGGTTAAAAAAATAAAAGTTCTTGAATATTCAATAACTTTGAGAAGGGCTATGCCTGTTTCATAGTTTAGGACAGCGTTTCTCAGCTGAGTTCTTTAATGCATCAGAAAATGGTTCCTGAAAGAGGTGAAAAACTTAAAAAGAAATCTGCACACATTTCTGTTTATATGACAAGCAAACAGAACAGGGAAAATAGACGTAATAAAATAATTGTCAAAGCTGAGCCTAGATCTTACTGAGCTGTAAATGAAAATCTCTGTAGTAAGTACATGGGTCCTCAACAAAAAAAGGGCTGGAAACGGTGATTTAGGGCATGTCTGCATGCATAATGTAAGCCATCCTGATATCCAAGCCATATGCAAATGATTTGTACCTCTGACTGACCTAGTGAGGTGCCACTTAGAGATAAAAGCTTTGGTCTCAGAAGAAATTAAATATCTCTGCGTGACACTGCATTGTCCAGAATAGGTAGGTCATTACTGCCCAGATCTTCTCTGCTCTTCCCCTTCTCATGCAGAGTTTCTGGCAGGTCCGAGAGCCCCTGCAGTAGGCTACTGGGCAGTGTGGGTGGCAGGGTGGTTCTGGCCACTAGTGCTGAGGTGCAGCAGTGGTGGGCTAGGACTGGACCACAGCCCTTCCCACAAGGTCCTTCCACATCTGCATCCATTCACATTGCTGTCATCCTCCTGCTCTCTCACCCTCCTGAGAGTGAGGGGCAGCAGTCTGGTACCTCCTAGTTCCCAGTCAGTGCAAATAAATGATATATTCTATGTATTCCTTCAGGACAGAAAATTTGTCACCAAGATTACTGATCTCAATCCACAGTCAAACCCAGGCAATGTGCCATTCCCCTCTTTTCCTGCCACTGCTCAAGCCCCTCAGTCCTGTGGCTTTTCCCTCCTTGCCCTGTTCATGCCCTCCCCTTGTGCTGGTGATGCGGAAAAGGGAGTTAATTTCAGATAGTATTTGTGGGGCAGTGCTGCCCTGGCCTGCCAGGGTCAGATCCAGCCAGTCCCGGCCCAGATCGGTGGAGCTGCAGCAGGATGAAAACAGTAGCCCAGGTAGTGGGGCGAGAGGAGGAGACATCTCTTTCTCCCCACACAGGTTTTGCTGACAAGCACACCTCTCTCCTCCCTGGCTTTAGGCTGAGGCAAGCAGCGCCTTTCTATGTGTGTGGCTCAGGATTACACCGTAGCTTTTGCAACCCTTAGGAGTTAGAAGTGATTCCTTCCAAGAACTGGGACAGTGGCCGAAAGGGCTGGACTGCACATATGCAGGATGCAGCTGATCAGTAAGTTTAAGGGTTGCGAGTATTCTGCATCTGTCAGCTTTTCCAGTCTGTCTCTTAGTTTGTAGCATGTTAATATAAAACTTTTCATCTTGTACTTAACAGTGCTGAAACCTCACAACACATCTCTGAGGCCAGTAGGACTCGTGATCAACTCATCCAGCTTTCACTGCATCATTTACAGCAGGACAGCTGAGGCACAGGAGGGCTGAAAGACTTGAGTTTGCTCTCAGAAGAGCTAGGGCCTGTCCTGTATGCAGTTTCAATAGTGGCATTGCTGTCATTATTACCAGCATGACACTATTTTTTTAGGAAAAATCATTACACTAGCACAATGGAGTTGTGGATGCAGTTAAAGTATGACTACACCTATGCAGCTAGTGGGATAACAGCAGAGATTACTACGCTTGCAGAGTTGGGATCTGAACCATGGGTGCCAGAGCTCCAGTGAGACCCTTAAGCATGGACATCAATATTCTCCACAGGAGAGCCAGGACCTGCCTAACACAGAGGCAGTGATGTTATCAGGGTTTGCAGGCTGAGAGACTTGCATGCACTCATAAGCAAAATAATTTCTTATCAACACTGCAAGAATATTTACAAAGAGCATGGTATATACTGGGTTTATGTGAGCACAACCATGTAGGTGGCTGCCACACAGCGTGGTTTGTTCCTCTGACTAAAACTCTTAATGAGAACAATTACTAGTTTGAGGCATGCAGAGACAAAATTACAAGGAAGGGTGAACAAGGTTTGTGCTGCTATCAGAAAGGCACCCTGAGGAATGTTAAAGCAGGCTTATTCTAATAATTATTGTGAGCATGTGAGAGATTTGTACTAAAACTGAGCAACATGTGGTTTCTTACAGTCATTGATGTAATGCACTTTCAAGATGGGACTATCAGAGGAAGATGATTTGTAGTTTTTTCTTTTAATTTCTATGATAAGCAGAGTTGCATGGCCTAGATCAAATCTTTAAGATCAGTGGAATCTTTTGTCCAGGCTTGTGGGTTTTCTACAGGATTATGTTCTTTGGCTTTACTATGCAAATAAGCTTTTTGTTGGATAATCTGATTCGCTTCTTGATTTACCTTTAACTGCTCTCTAGTCTCATGAGCAAAAGATTTCTGTGACTTTATCATGTCATGTCATGTAACTGTCATGTAACTGTAATTTTTGTCATGTAACATGTAATTTTTATGTCATGTAACTGTCTTGTGTGAAATAAGAGTAAAATGTAAATAACCATCTAACTATGAAGCCTAACTGGAGATGAAATGTCAGGGCAAACTGAGTTTAAGATAGAGCATTGGTCAATAGGAGGCATGACTGTCTGTTAAAGGCTGGCTTAATAAGAACACAGTAGGAAAAAGAAAACGGTATTTCAGTCTATATGGCTAAGTGTATAGGCAGCAAACTCTACGGTCTGAAGAGAGAATTTCATCAGAAACAGCTTCAGAACAAGTAAAGGACACCAAAATAAGTTAATTATGCCTCAAGGGGGAGTAAAATATCAAGGGTATCAACTTATGCAGAAGGAAGTAAGAAAAAATCCATGCCTGCCTACAATCAATCAGTTCACCTTCAAACCTGAAACTCTTTGAGCTTAAAAATAGGATAATATTAAAGACAAAGGCAACATACTGCTATCTTAGAAGTTCAGCCTTATGTCTTTGTCCAGTGTTCAGCAGTATCTCTTGCATGTGAAGATGCAGTGGAGTTTTCGGCTTCTCTGAGCTGCCTTTTATCACCTTGGTGGTCCATGCTGTTCTGCTGAGATCTGTCCTGGTTCTGGTTCTGATTGCTCACAGACCTTTTCAAGCATTCCAGGCATTGCTGGATATTTAACACCTGACCTGTGCCTGTTGTTACTGTTCCACAGAGTGCAGCTTTTCAGGATTACATAAACTTAAATCCAAAGCTGGCTGGATTCGATTCTTATGTAGCAGAATTCTTAAGCTCAGTTTTATGAGCTGGTGTGCATACATTCATGTGCTTCAGTCATACTGAATCAGCAACTGAAATACAATGTGATGCTGGCTTAAACATGGATCTTATGGTGGATTTAAGCACATGTTGCTGAAGCAAAACCTTAGTGTTGTGCATTCTCCTGTAAAATCATAGAGGGGGCTAATTATAACTGCTTGGGTTTTTTTCTGTACTAAATTGTTTTTAAAAATTGCTAATTCTGGTGGCCACCAATAAATACAATCTGTGTCTGCCAATAGTTTTGGGTTTTTTACATCTGTTTTCCTAAAGCTTTTGAGAGGAGATTTAGGTTCAGCATGTTCAGCTTGATTTAAATTACTGCCAGACCAACATTTTACATGTACGTTGCCGCTGTGAAAAAGGCTGTACAACCTGCTGGTTGAGGGGCAATCACAGATTTATAGATTTTAGAGCAATAGCAATGTTCAAAATGTTCACCTAAACTGAGCATGACCCTGCCCAGTCCTTGGGTTCTTTTTTATTTAACTCACCAGCTTGAGGTTGACCAAGAGTGTATTTTTGGAGTGACATCTAGGCTTGATTTAAAGACTCCCAAGTGCAGAGTTTCTCAGTCTTTGGAGAGTTTGTACCAATGGTCAATTACCCTTTCTCTGAAAAATACCCTTTCTCTGAAAAATCTGTACCTTATTTTTTTGGAACCCTGTTAACTTCTGACTTCTGGAAACTGGATCTTGCTACTTGACTTACTCAGCTGGGCTGGGGAGCCCTTTACTTTCCCATAGATGTTTCTTGTGATTGTTAGCTTACATTTTCATGGTATCAGAAAAATTTCTTTATGCTCACAAACACATGCAGATATCTTTTACACCCCAGTATTCCTGTGCTAAGGGTCTGATACGAAAAAAAAATATGCCATCTTAGAAAAGAGCCGATATGGCTGTGGTGCTTTCTGTTTCAGTTACCAACCACTGGTTTATGATTAAATATAATTCATGGCTAGGACATTAATATGGGAAAGAAACGGTATTCAGCATATGCTGTACTTATACTGTAGTAATTGTGGTTGCTCTAGTGTTCCCCCAAAATACTATTTTCAGTATTTTCTTGAATGTGTACAACATGCTTTGCAAATGCTTCAAGTTTTCTGTTAATTCTTTTACCATAAACAATTTCCATGGAGTCATATGGGCAGATGATATCAAAAAGTTGTCTAGTCCATGCCCTGGCCCCCAGGCAAGATCAATAATTACTGTGAGCCTGTATGATCTTCCTTCCATTCTTTTCTGCTGAGAAGTTGAAATGCAATCAACATATTTTCACAGAGAATCAAAATTATAAAAGAAGGGTTTTCAAAAAGCCTGAGCAGTAACTTTTATCCTTTCTCGCACGGTTCCCTCAGAAACCAAGTAAGATCAATGGGAGTCCCTGTACCTAAATCCTGCCTTGATGCATTTGTCTTACTGCTTTGTAAGTAATTATTGTTGTGTTTTCTCCTTAGGGCTCTTCCTGCAATGATGCAGTGGGTCCGAACTCAGAAACCAGGAGAAAGTGGTGTGAATATTATCACTGCAGATTTTGTAGAACTTGGTGAATTTATCAGCACAGTCATAAAGCTCAACTATGCCCTGGATGAAGGTGAAGATGACACTACTTGATAGTACTATAATGTGTGTTGTTGCATTATTTAGAATTTAAAAAGAAAGATTGCATTTTAAAAGAATTATCTTGTAAAACAGTAATGTTCTTATAAACGCTGAGGTGTTTAGGGCTTTAGTGGGTGGGTGTAGGGGAAATGTTTTAATCATTTATGACCATTTTTTACATTTGTGTTTCATGTGAAGAGGAAAACTAAACGTGTTTACAGTGTTTGATAAAAGAAGGCCATTTAAATGTTTTCCATGACATACTATATGTGATTCGTGTGTCTTCTATGGTTATGAACAGTGCCAAGAAATCTGCTGCTTTCAGCACAATGAGATATATATTGCCCTCTGCCTGCCCACAGCAGGATTCCTTGATGGTGTGTTACACCGAGAGAGGACAGTATATCTGGCCCGAAAATTTTAAGCCGCTATGCTTCGTCTGTTAGGTGGTTCAACTGATAGTATTTATCAGTGAGCTACAGGTTTAAATGCCTTTGTGAAGTGAATCCAAAGTCATGCCTCTAACACGCGCATAATCAGTGAACTGTAAACATGATGTATTACATAGCTTTCACAGAGCACAGATTAAATCCTGCTTGCTTTTCATTCTCAAAATGGGATTTTCCAATGTCTCTGCCCCAGGTCAAGTCAGCAGATATGTGATGCTGGCCTTACCCTGTACTGGGAGCTGCCAGTGCATTTTTTCCCTGGTTTTAGCAGACACTAAATTAGGCTAGCTTGGAGCACCACTTCCTCCTAAGATTAATCTTATGTGACTAAATCTTATGTGACTAAAACTGCACTTAAAAAAATAGGGACAGTCTAAGCTTCCCTTTAAGGCAGCTACGAACATAACATTTCTCTGCTGATTACCAAAAAATCAGTGCCAGTTTCATCAGCGAAAAATTCCTGTATTACAGGGTGTAGTAGTTCAATTTCTAGCAAATAACAATGCTCTATAGTCCTTAAGTTGTTTGTAGGATATTATACTACATAACACAAGGTTAGAATTCTACTGAATGGCACTGTCCTAGCAGCAGAATCACTGATCATCCTTAACCATTTTAATGAAACATATATAAAATTCAAATGTATGGAAATCTTAGTGATTTATAAAATGAAAGCATTGCCACTGTATGACACCTAACTGGATGCAACGCAATCAATCATATCTCCTGGAAACATCAATGCACAGGCATACAACTTTGTAAAGCAAAACATTTCATTTGTGCAAAACAATAGATGCTACAATGTCTTACAAGAAAAATGCTCTTTGAAATATTTCAGGGCTTTTTGGGATAAGGCTAAGGTCAAGTTTCCATGGATATTACTAGAACTTTTGGTTGTGTGAGAAAAGAGAATGGCATCATATAGTCCTTTGCTATTTTCTGTCAGATGATAAGGAGTACCATCTACCATCAGAGTTTAGAAAAACAAAAATGGTCTTAAAAAACAGGTGGTTTATGGGGTGTTACAGGGGTTTTGTGGGATTTTTTTAGTTTGGGAAGAAGTGGAATAAAATGAACACTTGCTGCTATTTTGTACTGAGAGGGTGCCTTGGAAAAAGTGTGCGTGTGTGTGTATGTAGTATAATGACACATTTAAGTGTATGTATATGATACAAAGACATCCATGCACACTTGCATAATGATATTCAGGTTTTTGGACAGGATTATTATAAATTTGGTTGAAAAAAATTTATGATGCCTCCTTCAGTAGCATTTTTTTCTATATAGATTAGGACTGCAAGATTCATCCCCAGTGAAATCTATGATCTAAGCCAGTTAGGTTTTTTACAGCATTAAAACTTCACCCGAACAGCCTCAAAAATTTACCAAGAGTCACAGCCCATCTTTGCATTGAACAAGGTTGACTCTAGTGCTTTCAACTACAACTAAGCAAGATATGAGGTGGGTTGATGCACTTTGTTTCCATTTTCAACAGGCTCTCCAAGCAAAATTAATGTAATGAACACATAAAACGAAACATAAGCCTATGTTGTTTTTGAACCCACCCTGTGTGGGTGTCCCACATAGAAACATTAAAATGTTTGCTTATTTATTGATGTTGTGGTGTGAAATACTCTTTTCTTTTTTGTTTGGCTGGATTTGTTTGCTTCCAGAATCTTCCTTTTCAGCTGTTTAAGTATAGTCAAAGAGTTAACCTATCCTTTTAATATAGTAAAGTAATCTGAATCCTTGGGTGGAGAAAAAAAATAGGTTTCTTTATTTTGGATTTTGATTGAAATCCTGTTGAGCATCAGCACCACTGAGTTCCTCCTGGGACCCCCTGCTCAAACACACACCAGGCACACCAAGCCTTTAGCTTACACAGAAGTGTACTCAAAGCAAATGTTCTGCTGTATTTAAGAAAAGTGTGTGTGTGTGTGCCTGTATTTATGAATAAATATAGTGCTATGTTGAGCTTGTTAGCATTGTTATGAAATGTTCGCTTAGTGTCAGTTTTATTCTAATTGTCATTTGGGTACTGGAAAATAAAAGCAAAGAAAAAAACCCTCTGACAAGAAGGATAATAGATAAATCATATAGTTTCTCCATTAATAGGAGAAAAAAATCTTAGCAGAATGTTAAATTTTGGTCAGAAAAAAATATGTTATTTAGCTGTCAATCTCCTTTCTGTTGGAGAAGCACAGCACTTTACGTTAGGGACAGATAAACTTGCCTTAATTACTAAAACAAAAAAGTGTGGGGGGGGCCATACTACCCATGCTTTTCTGGGGATTTCATCTGCAAGGCCCCAAAACTCTTAAGTCTTGATGGGGATGCACTTCCTGTTGATACTGTTTGGCAGGTCTTGCCAGAAAAGAACAAGCCAGAAGGCACTATGCAGCACAATTGGACCATTCAGGAGCCCAGCTTTGTCATCCATATGCAGCTAAAACTCTTTGATTTCAACCAGAAATGTGGCTGCAGGGTTGGGTCAGATAAGTTGTTCTGACCTGATTTGTTTGAGAGGTTTCTGCACATGTATTATGAGGAATCTTACATGGGAAATGAGATAACATCAGACAAAAAATACCTGTCTACAGTAATGATCTTCATAAGCATCTATTTACACAAACTGTCATGTCATTCTCCATCAAAACCTTTTTTTTCTTCCTGTGCTCATTTCCCCCCTTGCTATGTTCATTGTATACATATCAAGTAGTATTTTTTTCTGACATTTTTACATGGTTACTTGATCCTTTTTCACTCGTATTTGAAAAAATGCAACACATGCAGTGTCTCAACTGGTGTAAACCTACCTGGCTCCATTTTCCAGTTTACACGGTCTTTCTTTGGTACTGATCCAACCTGCAGCAATTTGGACCAAATAAGCAGCTGGTCCCTGGGTCTGATACCTGCCTTGTGTAGAGAGTGGTAGGATCAGAATCACACCACAGGAGCCTAGTTTTAAAATCAGTAGGTTATTTACATTCCTTTGCTCTTGGTTACTTCAGTGGTTTTGTAGGTCCTGCCATTTCAAGCCATTCTTTTAAACATACACATGTGTGAGTATATATATATATATGCATACGTGCATGAGAAAGAATGTATGATCCTGTATGCTGGGCTTTCTGTCATACTGATACAAATCTAGACCATTTCTACTAACTTCAGAGTAGTTACCAAACCTTTATCCTGGGATGAGAGGGAGCAGATAGTCAATGTGTAGTAAGTATATGCTGTGTTGCAAAGGAAATTTAAAACTCTGGAGCTTAACTCCACAATATCAAAAAAATGGAGTGTCCTGAAAACACAGCTCCAGTGCTGTTTATCCTGAATATAGTATATGGAGCACTAGGTATTAGCAACTGAGTAGGCTATTTGGTGATTTCAAGAGTTCAGTTAACACCATCTTAAACTTCTAAACATTTCAGTGAAGTAAAAGCTAATAGTGTATATGATGTATTTGCCATATCTCAGTGGTAGCTTCTGTGTTACGTGCAGTCAACATTGTTCTGAATTGTGTATGTTTACCCAATGATGAGGTTAAAATATGCTGTATAGTATGTGCAATGTATTGATTAGAAGTATGTTGGAGTTCAGTGATCTATTTATTTTTTACTGTGCTGCTGTTTTGTAGGGGTGTGTGTGTGTATGGGAGTATGGATTGTCTACAGTGTATGAGGAAATAATAATTAATCCTAAAGGAAAAGGGCAGTTATGTAACCTGCCTTAATGCATTCACACAATACTCTCTAAATCCCATAATTAACAGTTCCGATTTCAAACGTTACTGAGGACTGTCCATAGGGCTGACTCCCTCACTTTTCGGCACTAAGGAGTGAAGTTACTTGGAGCTCACTTACATATTGGTGAATAAAGAATAGGATGTTTGCCTGATTTACTACCTTGATTGTTCAAGGGGGCAAAGACATGTTTTCCAATGTGATACAGATAAAATCACTTCTGTGCACACACAGCTCCTGCTGATGCCAGCAGGAATTGTGATCATGTAATTTGAATGGCCTAAAATTCATCTTCTAGAATACAATCATGACAGGAGGGTGGTGATAGCCTGGCTTTGAGGAAGTAGCTGGACGCTATGCAATACTGCTCATATCACATTCTGGAATGTAGCTGTAAATTTGCAGGAAGACTTTTGAACTCGGCTGCAGTCCAAGGCTGGACTGTAAAAATCTTTACGTAAAAATAACAGATGTCAGAGGCTGAGCAGCCTGGCCTGGCCTGCCCACATACAGCATTCTGCTTTCAGGAGCTGTGGCAACTTTAATTTAAAAATCTGTAATAATTTCCCAGTGTGTCACAGGCTCTAGAGCTTTAGTTGGGAATCTCTACATTGCCCACAGGTATGACCCCTCTACCATTCCCCCAGCCGGGTCTAGCTCTCCCTTCGTGGTTTCTGTCTGAGATACTTCTGGCTGATGCCAAGGGTAATTCTGAAACACGTACTGAACACATAGAGGGTCCATCTCATGCCTCGCCAGTTGGACAGGAGCAGGAAGAGTGTGCCTGCCCTATGGTACATTTGGTATGAAGTCAGCTTCAGTCAGACCCACCTGAACAGCGCTTGAGGGAAGGCATAAGTCTGATTTCAGACCCTTTTCTATTATCTTTGTCTAGTTAAAAAGCAGCATCTTCCCCCTCCTTTGCCTTTGTTCAGTGCTCCTTCTGCATACACATCCCTTTAACTGCCAGCTGTGAGCAACACTGCTCAAAGTGAGCATTAGAGGTTTTTCATCCTCAGTCTCAGTGCACCATAACAATCCACAAGTTCTTATAAGATGTTAAATATGGGGCTAAAAGATGGCAGTGTCCAACATCTGATGTCCTGGGATGGTTTAACTCCACACTCCAAGTTAGGCACACATGTCCTCTTAGACTGGCCTCACCTTGGATGATGAGAATTTAATTACAAAATTTCTCCTCCCAAATTAGAAACAGATTGGATGATATGCCAATGAGTATCTCCTAAAATGGAGGTACACTTAAGCTTTTTTTTTTGAGTAAGATGACATGTACTAATCTCTTCCCTCAGCTCTGGTTTCTACAAAAGTCAATTTGACCAGTAGAGATTTCTTGAGTAGCTGAAATCAGTTTTGCTGTGAAGCTGGGATCCTTAAAGTAGAATCCTGAGTTCATGTGTAATTATTATTATTGAAAATAAACACACATGGTTAAAACTTTAATTTTAAAATATCTGGGCTGGCCAGGACAGTTGATAAGTTTTTGACTGCCTCAGTCATCAGTAGCTTTAGGATCATGTAGGTGATGATTAGGATGTTACTGCCACACTGCCTCCTGACACTGTTCAGGGTCTCTGTATAGAAGCCTTATTATTCCCAGTGAGCATTAATGTGTTTGAATGATTTCTCCATTTTGGTGGAAGGATGATTGTGTAACACTGAGGACATGGAGCTCCCTGTGTGTTGTGCCCACAAAGGTTCACAGAGCTGCACCTTCTCTTTTTAGGATCTATTCAATGGTACTTTAATGTTGTGTAAAAAATGCCTACAGTTCTGTATAGCAAATGTGAATTTTTATGACAAGAGTGTGTATTCAATGTAAAAAAAAAGATTAACATAAAATCCTGTTTCTTTGTATCCAGTGAAACATCTAATAAAGCTCTGGTACCTGTATTGGTTTATGGCTTCATTGCTGCATTCAAGGCTTTACATGTAGGAGGCTTCTTAAACACAGTTTTGCATTATGGGGTGGAGTCAGATGTTAGACCCAGGCTGTGCTATTATGTTAGGGGCATATGTGGACTGCGCCATGAGGGCGTTGCGGTGGGAGGATAGTTTCCACAGGGTTACTGTGGGACTCTTGAGTACCATAGGGTACTGTGATGTGTTTGTGCTGCTAGGGATACAGCAGGCTTTCGGCTGCCTCTTTCCCTGGCAGCACTTTCCAGCCCCAGCTTGCCTCAAGCACCAAAGTGTATCACCCAGCTGTATGAGCCCATGAGCCCATGCTGCCACTTTTGTCATTGGTGGTATCTTGTAAGAAGGAGGGATATGGAAAGCAGGGACTAGACCTCTGAAATGTTAGTCTGTCTCATTGCTCCCTTGGGCCTGCTCAGCATTGAAGCTGGCAGCTCAGGAAGACAAGGTGAGGAGCGCCCACCACTGATGCAAACTCAGCTTGTCTGCAGGTGCTGGTGGAGCAGGCTAGACTGCCTCACATCTGCCTCACGCTGTGCCAGCCAGCAGGTGAGTTCCCTTCATCGTCTCCCTGGTGACTTCTGTGGGGTTTGGGGACCTGCTCCTCAGAGTGGGATGAAGGCAAGTGCCGACCAAGAGTGCGCTGCACCAAGGAGCATGGCCAGCAAGGCTTGGCTTTGCAGCATCCTGCAAAGGTGAAGTGTGGCATGTTAGAAGCTAAAACCTTTCTACATGACAACAGCTTGGACTTTAAGGTCTGTATTACTCTTTCTTCCTAACAAGGCCAGAAGTGGTGTTTTCCAGGACAGACCTGTTTTGCTCACCTCTCCTAATAAGTCACAGGCAAACCAGCCCGAGTGCTCTGCTCCCACATTCTTCATGCCCTCTCACTTGGCCCAGTTTCACACAGAATTATCTAGGTTGGAAAGGACCCTGGAGATCATATAGTCCAACTGTTCTCCTAGCACAGTTCCCACCTACAGCATATCCTTAAGTTCTAAATCGACCCGACTCTTGAACACCTCCAGGGATGGGACTCCACCACCTCCCTGGGCAGCCCATTCCAACACCTAACAACCCCTTCCAGAAAGAAATGCTTCCTCATATCCAGCCTGAACTTTCCCTGGCACAACTTGAGGCCATTCCCTCTTGTCCTGTCGCTTTCTGCTAGGCTAAAGAGACTCATCCCCAGCTCTCTGCACCCTCCTTTCAGGGAGCTGTAGAGGGCGATGAGGTCTCCCCTCAGCTTCCTCTTCTCCAGACTAAACACTCTCAGTTCCCTCAGCCGCTCTTCATAGGATGTGTTCCAGACCCTGAACCAGCTTTGTAGCCCTTCTCTGGACATGGTCAAGTAACTCTATGTCATTTTTGTAGTGAGGGGCCCAAAACACTGTCTATGAGCCCAGTTTGAAGCCAATGAGCCAGGTGCAGGCTGCCAGGGTTGGAGAAGAAGATGCCATGGAAGATGAGCAATGCTGAGGAGGCCTCTCTGTCAGTGCCTCCCTGCAGAAACCCATGAATTAAATTTGCCTGCTGCTTAAAATGACTCCCCTCCTCTTCCTACCCCACAGATACTGTTTTACCAACAGGACCATATGGGTTGCTCACTGCAAAAGTGGTTCTGTTCTCTCTTCTCTTTTTTTCTTAGACGCCAATAAAAGAACCAGCAGGCCAACTTTATCCTGCTATTACAGGAACTACTTTATTCCAAATATGGTTTTCCTCTGTCCTAACTCTTAATATAGTGGTCTGATGATATGTGAGGACACAACTAGCTAAGTTGCTGTTTCCTTTAAGAAAATACATGTAACACTAGGTGAGACAGATATTTAGTAAATAGTTCTGATTCCAGAAAATAATTGTATATTAAATGACTGGATTTGAGAACAGGAAAAAAAAAAAAAGTTTCCTATGTTTTTAGTTTTAAAAGAGAGTTCAATTGAAATGCAACTATTATCTTGGAAGGTCAATTTTAAATAGGTTTTATGGAAATAAGCAGTTTATGGGCATAGGCACAGGACTTACACATTTTTGGCCCAGTTTCCAGCTCCTTAGTGCCCTAGCTGCAATTCCTGGCATTATTCCTTTTGTTTTTTCTCCCAGCAACTGTGACATTTCTGAGGAAAAAATAATTCTATTGCAAATGTGTTGATTGAAATCAAAGTAATTTAAATAACTGGTCTTAATCAGGTTTAAATCTTCAGGTACAAAACAGTAATTTAGATATAATTAATTTTAGTCTTGCTTTCCCTTTTTTTCATCAGAGTTTTTTGTTGTCTAAAGACAGGTTAATCCTTGAAGATAACCATTAAGACCTGATTTAGCAACTAAGTGGAATAGTATATCAGATTTGGTATGTCTTTGCTAAGCAGGAGAGTAAGCTGTACACATAGGTAAACAAGTATCTGTTTTAACATACATTCATGTCGATTGTTATTTCTTCTTTATGAGGAAATGGCAAAAGGTGTTTCTATTTTATTAAATTAATTTTTTGGAGTTTTTTTCATACTGTGTCCTGAAGATGATTAGAGCAAATTAACACATATTAGTTTAAGTACTATGGCTAATAACAAAGGCGTTACAAAGAAAATGAGCTAAACATGCTAGATCCAAAGAAAGACAATCTATATCAAAACTTAAAGCTATGGGAAGTCATTTACTCAGTGAAAAAAGTTAGATGTAGAGTTAAGGATTTAAGTAGGATTTTTTGAGATAGATAGATATATATATATCTATATATAGATATATAGATATAGATATAGATATAGATATATAGATATATAGATATATAGATATAATTATAAAATTATATTGGGTTTTTAGGACCAAAAGGCCCCAAAGTGTGCATATACTTTTTGTTCATAGATTAGCAGAAAAGGGAAGCTTACATCAGTTTTTTTCAGTTTGAAAGAGCTAATTATTGAATTAAGAGAGGAAAGTTTCTTAATTTATGCTACAGAGATCCCACATGCCAAAAAAGTCAGTCACTTCAGGAAATTGTATTCCTCTTTGTTTAGAGCTGGGGACAACACCCATTTCAGCTTCTTACATTTGTCTGTGTTTCAGTGTGAACAAAGTGGAAATTACAGTACTAAATAGTAAATGTAAGCTTTAATTTGGATCAGTATGGATCAACAAAGTTTCTGTCTCTCCTTTAAAATGGTGGAAGTGGTATCCAATTCTCATATAGTCATTAATAGCTGACAAGCTTGCTCAGAAATGAGGGCAGCTGGAATAGAATCTGCTGCTCTTTGTTGAGAGGGAGAATTTGACTCGTGCTGGTAGAGAGGAGCACAGCAGGGGTGGCACAAACTGCAGAAGGAGCTCTAAAGGAGGTCTAAATAGGATGTCCTGGGGAACTGTGTAATGGAAAAAAGAAATGCATTTTGGGGAGAGTCAGTGAGAAAGTTGGAAAATCTAAGAAAAAACATGGGGGACTTTGTTCACCTGAGAGGGGAATTGTTGCCTTAGGAGGCATTGCATAGGAAAGGACTGGGTTTGCTGCTTTGTGAAATGCAACAGTAAATACTCCAGGTGTTTTGTTTTACTGGGAGATGCAGATGTAAATACCCTGCCTGGCTGATCACACAGATTCAGCCCAGCCAATATGGCCTGAAAGACAAACATGAGCACCTTCACCATCATATAAGCATATTTGAGCCAGACTGAGCTATGGAAGTAGAAAACCAGTAATACTGAACAACAAGCTGTAGGCAGATAGAAGGTTGCAGGGCTTTGGCTTTGGGAGAGCCATTTCTCCCTCACAGTAGTCAGATTAAAAAGAAGAGAGCTTTAAAAAACTCCAGTGCTTGATTTACATGATGCACACAGTCCTTGCTCATTAAGGCCATGCGATCTATGCAGATAATATGCACAGGTGAGGAAGCATCATCCTCATTAACAAAAATATTGTCTGACCAAACTGCTTCCATTCCCCAAGTAGCTGTCATATTTCTGAAAATCATAAACATCTTAAAGCTTGTAAAATTTGCAAGAAATAATTGGAGGGCATGAGCTGGGCTGTATTTTAGATATGTGGGCCCATGGATGAAACAGCCAGAATAGATCATACCTTGGATCAGCTTGCATTCAAATCCAAGAGGATGGTGTGTTATGGTACTGGGTGATACCTTAACAAATTGCTTATGCCTGAGCTTCCAAGCCCAGCCTGCCCCTGTGCAGATCTAGCCTGTAGACAGGGCACTGCAGGTGAGAGCAGTGACACCAGACAGGGTTTAGCACTTCCATCTTTCTATACTGCTGTACTTGTCAACCTGGCAGTCCTCTGACCCAAGTCATCCAAGATCTTGCAAAAGGTTTTTGAGGGCTGCTTTCTTGATAACAAATCATCATTTATTTCCCTTCAAAAATGGGAAGATTTGCCCATTGTCATTAAAACACTTGACCCCAAAATCTGAGTGAACTCCTTTTCCACCACGTTTTGTATCTGCTACCCCATAAATTCACCTTTTCTCTTCCTCTAATTACAGCATGAATAAACAGAAAACCTGAGAAGTTGTCAGAAAGAAAAGAACACGGGATGTACTTTTACATGCTCAAGCATTGTAGCTCCTATAGTCACTGCAAGTTCCCCAAGGAGCCAGTACATTTTAATAATCCCATTGGCATTGGATTCTTTCAAGAATAAGTGTCTGGGTTTATATTTTAACTGAAATTAAATATGCAATTTGCAATGAATACAGACAGTGTGTAGCCTGTTCTCCAGCATATTGAGAAACATGTATTTGTCATCTGTCTACCATTCGATCCTCTAATGACTGTTAGCATCACCACTGAAACAAACTGTAAATAATGGAGCAATAAAATTAATTTGCTTTAGTGATCAAAAAACCAAATCACAGTAGGGATCATGAGGAAAGAAACAGGAACAAACCAGAGCACATAATTATGTGTTCATCTAAGCAGCATCTGCATCTTGAGTACTGAGTGCAGTTTAGCTAGCCAATCTTAAGGAG